AGACTCCCGCTCTTAACCACTACACCACTCTGGCTCTCCATTGGCAACCCCCTTCACTGGCCATGCTTTGATAACGCTTCTGGAGAGTAGAGAGGGGTCTGTGGATGTGTGTAGAAAATCACAGATTAATGCAAAAATGGGATGGAACGGACTTATGACTGAGTGCACACAAAACTGACACAGGTCAGAAATAGATCAACCCATCCATTCCTAGTTCTGAGCTATCTCTTCTCACTCACACCAGAGATTCAGTGAGTGCAAAGTCAGTTTGGAGTATACAGTCATTATTGCCAATGTAATATTATGATCATTTGTCTTTAAAGATGCCAGTTTTCCAATACTCTTCAGGCCTGGGTAATCTAAGAGAATCTAGGCTCTGAACCAAACTGTCACCCCTACACACTTTGAATTGCAAATGTCCTTTGCAAGTTCAAATTGAGAGAAAACGGAATACAGGCTTTTCAGCTTTGTTTTATAAGTGAGAGACAGAAAAGACCGATTTGCATGCACACAAAAATGCTTTTTAGCAGAAACTAATTTTATCAGTTCTGTTTAAAGATGGTATCACTGATATCTAAACCAGGAAATGGCAATGAGCACAAAGACTTTAGGCACCAGCAAGACACAATCTTTTGGCTTTCAGGACATGAAAAGAGGGGATATGAATAATGTCATATCAAGGAGCTTCCGTAGATCACAAGCTCTGTTAATTTCAAAGTAATAAATGCATTCAGCTCTCTGATATTGATCTTTCATTACTAATAATGATGGATGTGAACTATTGGTGGGCATTCTTTTTCCACCCTCAGAATAAGCAAAGAACAGAAACTGTCCTGCAAATGAACAGTGGAGTAGACGTTCTTAAGTCTTAGCTTAAACTTGTACTGCTTGTGGCCAAAGGCCCTGCAAAAAATAAATAAATCCAAAATACACCGAAAATGCTATGTATGCGAAACATGGTCAATAAGAGGCAGACTCAAGGATAAACACAAAACAAGGGATAATTAAAACATTCAGTACAACAAACAAAAATTTAAAAAACCATAAAAACAAAATGATCATCATATCAGGGCATCACTATAGCTATCCCTGTATGAAATTCTAATGGATCCATCTCACATGATTAAATAAATATATCTGGATACTTACAGCTACAGTGGTACCTCAGGTTACATATGCTTCAGGTTACATACGCTTCAGGTTACAGACTCTGCTAACCCAGAAACAGTACCTCGGGTTAAGAACTTTGCTTCAGGATGAGAACAGAAATTGTGCTCCGGCGGCATGGCAGCAGCGGGAAGCCCCATTAGCTAAAGTGATGCTTCAGGTTAAGAACAGTTTCAGGTTAAGAATGGACCTCCGGAACGAATTAAGTACTTAACCCGAGGTACCACTGTACTTAGGAAGCTCCCCCCACCCCTCTCCAAATAATATGTTTTCCCAAGAACTCTCCCTTTCTTCTGCAAATAATAGCCCACTTCAGGCAATCTGATTAGGGGTTAGCTTGTGATCTGAAGAGGGGCCACAGTGTGGTGTCTGTTCCCTCCATGACCTGGAAGGCATACTTGTGACATGGGGAGCCTCCTGTATCTGAAGAGGTTAATCTTTCCATGCATAGCACCTGATCGCCAAAGAATTGATGTTTTTGAATTATGGTGCTGGAGGAGACTCTTGAGAGTCCCATGGACTGCAAGAAGAACAAACCTATCCATTCTTAAGGAACTCAGCCCTGAGTGCTCACTGGAAGGACAGATCGTGAAGGTGAGGCTCCAATACTTTGGCCACCTCATGAGAAGAGAAGACTCCCTGGAAAAGACCCTGATGTTGGGAAAGATTGGAGGGCACAAGGAGAAGGGGACGACAGAGGACGAGATGGTTGGACAGTGTTCTCGAAGCTACCAGCATGAGTTTGACCAAACTGCGGGAGGCAGTGGAAGACAGGAGGGCCTGGCGTGCTCTGGTCCATGGGTTCACAAAGAGGCGGACACGACTAAACAACTAAACAACAACAACATAGCACCTATTCTGTTTTATAAAACCACATTCTAAAAAGAGAGAGAGAGAGAGAAGTAGCTCATAAGATAGAAATCACTATGTACATCTTCCTACAATAACTCCCCCGACTCCAACTATGCTATCGTGCTCCTTTATTTCCCGTGATGGGTGGGGAGTGAGAATCAGTTTCTTTCTCCTTTGTCCAACCAGGATCAGGTGCAGAAACAACCTCTGGAACCCCCACTGTCTCTGAAAAGGCTCACAGCCTCAGGGGCTCGAGACGTCCGGCATCATTCGTTTGTTTACTTGCGGCATCTTCTGCCCAGGTCTGCAGACTCATCAGCGTGTCAAGAGGCTGTGAGTGCTCTGTTTCTGAAAACACAGTGGGGCTGTGGCAGTGATCTGGAGAAAAAGCACCTGTCAGGCTGAAAGAACACGCTCGCCTGCCAGAAGCCAGCCAAGCAGAGAGAGCGAGGCTCGGAACGCCCTCATCCCATTATGGGCAGGAGCTATTCATTGCCACCCTTCACCCTCAGCCTGCCAGGTCTCTAAAACAGAAGAGTCCGTGGAGACCCAAAGAGCGGTGCCGTTATTTTATTTCCCTGATAGCACAGCTCCCGAGAAATCCAAGTTATTAGACCAGCTAATAGATGCCGCTTACACTGTCTTTTGATCTTCAAAGTGTCTCTGAGGCAGATTAATTGACACAAATCCATACTAGTAATTAAACCGACGAGTCCTTTGCAATATATATGGGGAATTATAGTAACCATTGCCCATGACATAGGGGACATGATCCAGTTCGGATCACGAGTTCAGCTGCAACTTTTGCAGTGGGGGAGTGTCGTCCCCACCCCTACTTGTGGAGACTTCATACTGGGCTTAGAACCATACATTTCCAAATCATTTGCAGAGCCTTTATGCGAGTAGAAAAGACTGTAGATGTTATGGCAGAACAGCCAACAGGAGTATGAATTTCTTCCGACATGCACAATGTTGCTTGCAATTTTGCGAAATATACACATTTCTGAAAGCGACCCCCCCCCATTATCATGCATTTTCATATGTTATTTTCACAAATGTGCCATTTATATACACACGCTTTACACTAGTATCCACACTTTTGTATACGTTGTTTGGCTGGGGAAGTGCACTGCCAAATTTGGAGAAGTGTGAATTTCAACAAATAATAATAAGGAGAAGAGTTTGGATTTGATATCCCGGCTTTCATTCCCTTTAAGGAGTCTCAAAGCGGCTAACATTCTCCTTTCCCTTCCTCCCCCACAACAAACACTCTGTGAGGTGAGTGGGGCTGAGAGACTTCAGAGAAGTGTGACTAGCCCAAGGTCACCCAGCAGCTGCATGTGGAGGAGCGGAGCGGAGACACGAACCTGGTTCCCCAGATTACGAGACTACCACTCTTAACCACTACACCACACTGGCTTTAGAAAGGCTGTGTTTCAGTTCACACCTTGCTTTGGAAGGTGCGAATTAGGTTAGGTTTGCCTCCCCCATCTCTAGTTGCAGGGCCCTGCAGCCCCTTTCAGCTGGCTTTTCCACTACAGGCGAGAAAAAACTGAGGAGAGCTCAGGCGTCCTTTCGGTAAGGGTTGGCTAACCCCCAAGTCAAGGGGCTCATCCAGCATCCCTAGCAAATAATTTCTGTTGCCCTCCAAGATCCTACAGATGGTTGCAAAAAGAAAAGGAAATGGGAGTGGTGGGAGGCACCAGCTGGGGAACCCCTAGAGGAAGAAGGCTCAGAGCCAGGGGATTGGTGGTGGGACAATGGTGAGTGGTCAGAGGGAGAAGAGGGGGCAGACTGGGAGGAGAAGGTGTCAGAAGCTGAAGCAACAGGGTTTAGTGAGCAGGAAGAGGCTGTGGCAGAGAGCAATCCAGACTCAGAGGGAGGAGAGGAGGGTGGCCAGCAGACAGAGATGAAGCAGGCTGCTGAAGAATCCAGGGAATGTCCAGCCCCGCTTCCCCCTGGTCTCCCAGAACATACAGAGAAATGAAGAGGGTGGGGCAAAGAGAGACGAGATGAAGGAGCCTCAGGTGGCTGTGGAAGGATCCAAGGGAGGAGAAGCCTTAGAGAGCAGTGGAAGGCAGGGACATTCAATCCTCACAACCGCCTCGCTGTGGCAAGACCTACTGGGAAGAGTTGCTGCGATGGCTAGGTCTGAGTTGTTTTGGTTTCTTTGAATAAAGAGTTCACTGACACCGGGTGATTTATTGCTGAACCGGCAAGTGGGCACAGTGCAGAAAGGTGAAAATTGCCCCTTCCCTGTTCATCAGCTTGATTGTTTGATGAGAAAAAGAGAGGGGAATAGCTCTCTCCCTCAACTGATCTGCATAGGTCTCGTGTGCGCATGCAGTGTGTGTCTCTGTGTTGCTGTCTAGACCTGCCTTCAACCAGGAATGGACACAGTGCCGCCACTCCACACCTCCCCACTGATGCTTACATGTTTCTGCGGGAAGAAGGAGACCTGCAGCTCCAGAATCAGATTCCAGAGCTGAGCCCAAACTCACATTAAAACTCCAGGGTGGTTTTAGACCAGGCTTTTTTCTCTTTGTATTAATTCACTTGACCTGAAGATAACCCTTTCCGTGTGAAAGGAGGGCATAGGGGGAACAACGCAGCCCGATTGCTCTAATATTGTTCGGATTTTAGATAGATCAGTTTTTGAGCAGCATGCCTGCAAAGCTGATTGACACACGTAGGCCCCTTATTTTTGCTTTCTGAAATATTTCAATTTTGTTGGCTTAAGTGGTGTTACACTGAGAGACCTTTTACAATATTATGCACAATCATTAAGGAAATGTACTGCTGTGTGGGTTTCAATTCAAACTGCCAAAGCATAAATAATTCTGCAAGATAATGTACTTCAAGTCAAAGGAGTGGATGTGTGTGTGTGTGTTTAGTGGCAGTCTTTAATTTCAAAGTTTTTTAAGAGATTTTTTTTTAATAGGAAAAAAAACTTGTTCCACACTTGATAAGAGACCACTAACCTTCAGCCTACGATCCTGATCTCCGCTGCAGAGTGAATTTACAGACACCTTAAATGACTTCCAGGCTGGATTTAAGTTATTCATCACCACCTATGAATGAGAAGGAAAGGACTATAAACATATTTCAAAACCAAAATGCTAAACACCAATAATTATCACTTGCAAATGAAGTTCTATTATCACAATTTTTTTTTAACTAAGCAAAAGAAACAGTACCTTTAGGCATTATTCATTTTTTTGGTATACTTTTTGTGGCTATATGCTAGGCAATCAAGTCAACATAATATTGAGCATGCTTCTTGTTATGTTCTATTTGATAATTTATTTTGTCTTTTGACGCCTTTCCAAAGTCCATTAAAATCAGTGGGAGTCAGTTAAAAAACAAACAAACCCAACGGATTGTACATCACAAAATGAGAAAACAGAACACAAAATGGGAAAACAAGATAAGGATTGAAAAGTCTGAAACAACAATCTGAACAGAGAAAATAAATTTGCTTTATGGGCAAATTTACTAGCTGTGGGGGGGGGGGAATTCACACTCCCCTAACTACTGACCATGCTCTCCAATTAAACACTGGAACTTCCCCCATGTTCTATCCCTGTTATATGATCTAAGCCAGCCAACATTGCTGGAGCACTGTGCAATGGAATAAAGGAGTGACAGCGGCAACGATGCTGTTTTGCTAACATATGGGCAAACACATACAGGGTTAGTCCTTTAAAAGAGGCCCCATGGATACAGAGTACACCTGTTCCACGGGGCCTCTTTTAAAAGACTCACCCTGTATATGAACAGAGAGAGGAGAATTACCTGTTGCCAAAGGAGTTGAAAGCCTGTCTATGGCAGGTGGTACATGTTTCAGGTGAGGGAGCTACCTGCAAGCCCTGATAAGCTTTCCCCTTGGAGCAGCTCAAGAAGGCCAATGCTTGCTAAATAGCATGGTATGTGAGGAGTGAAGAATGTCTATCTCATTTGGAGGAAATAGGGAAGTAACCAATGTCCCTCAAATTGACATTTCTGGCTCTGAATGCGACTGGCGATGCACAGAATAATGGCTACTGGTGGCTATATATCTGTTTGGACCTAAACAGCCACCTCTCACTGAGGTCCAGCACCGAGGGCCTTCTGGCGCTCCCTCGCTACGAGAAGCCAAGTTACAGGGGACCAGGCAGAGGGCCTTCTCGGTGGTGGCACCCGCCCTGTGGAATGCCCTCCCACCAGATGTCAAAGAGAAAAATAACTACCAAACTTTTAGAAGACATCTGAAGGCAGCCCTCTTTAGGGAAGCTTTTAATGTTTAATAGGTTACTGTATTTTAGTGTTTTGTTGGAAGCTGCCCAGAATGGCTGGGGAAACCCAGCCAGATGGGTGGGGTATAAATAATAAATTTATTATTATTATTGTTATCATCATCATCATCATCATCTCACCTTGCCTACTGAATCACTTCTGTGAGGGGACCTTTTGGCTGCTATGAGCGCCCTTCAACAAATGCTAATATATATATATATTTCAGAGTACTGTTGGCAACAACATAGCTCACTATTGTGGAAGCACTAGAATAAAGATGGATTAAGAAACGAGAGGAAAGAAAGCACCCACCACCCATCACTTTAAACGTACAACTTGAGGAGCCTCAGTGGAAGTCTTGAATAACCTTCCCCAAATGATCACGTGAGCAGGGAAATGGAAAGAGTTGGGCCACTAATCATTTGTGACGTGACTGGTACTATCCAATACGTGGCTGCGACCCTGACATAGCTACATTCCCCCCAGCAACTGCACCATTTTGTGAATTACTATTGCTTGCTTACTTCTCCTGAGGCCAGGCACATGCTTAATGTGCTACTGAAGCGCAGGATTGCTGATGTGGCAGAGCAGAATGGCAAAACTGCCTCTTCTTCCACAGAGCAATGCCCAAGAGGTTCATACAACTTTTTATTTCCCCCTCCCATCCACCTTTGTTTAGATCACTTCTTTGAAGTGTAGTCCCCTTTCCGAGTGGAATGAGGTGCCAAAACACATCCTCCCAATTAATGGGGTACTGCTTTCTTTCCAAGCCAGAGCAAAGTGTTTCCTTTTGTTCCTGTTCAGCAAGGCTACTTCTCTTCAACTGCATGGGGACAGGATATTATGCGAGTCTTGCTGGATCCATGCCACCACTAGTCATGAGTGGTTGGTGTGTGAGGCAGTGCCACAGAGGAGCATACACACACACACTGGCATCACTGTCACTTAGTGAGACTGGAATGGCTCTGCTGGCATTCTTGCACAGTCCCTGCACAATCCTTGTAAGCTGCAGCAGTGCCATTGTCCGAAGGGCAGCCCCAGCACACAAGACACTGGTAAAGCACTAAAAGTCTAGCACATGGGTAGGCGAACTAAGGCCCGGGGCCTGGATCCGTCCCAATCACCTTCTCAATCTGGCCCGCGGATGGTCCAGGGATCAGCATGTTTTTACATGAGTAGAATGTGTCCTTTTATTTAAAATGCATCTCTGGGTTATTTGTGGGGCCTGCCTGGTGTTTTTACATGAGTAGAATGTCTGCTTTTATTTAAAATGCATCTCTGAGTTATTTGTGGGGAATAGGAATTTGTGTCTCTTCAAAATATAGTCCGGCCCCCCACAAGGTCTGAGGGACAGTGGACCGGCCCCCTGCTGAAAAAGTCTGCTGACCCCTGGTCTAGCAGTTTATATTATTTCAAAAGACCCTAAATCTCCCACACAGCAACCAAAATTATAAACCTACCAAGGGACGGGGGGGGGGGGGCACAATAATGCAAAACGAAGTAAAAGAGGGTTGCTTTTGAACATCCTATAAAGTTCGATATAAGTAAAAACAAAACAAGCCCTCTCTTCCTTGCCATAGACAGCTGTGCCCAGCTGATTTCAAAACGGGCTCATTTCTCACCTCAGTCCTGTGGACAAGCTGCTGAGTGGCATCATCATTCATCCGGAAAATTTCCAGAAATGGATCGGATTTGCTGAAGAAATCCTGAAATCGAAACATATAGATCGTTATTCTTCCAGGCTTATTTGATTTTATCCACACAATCTCTCTGCTCCCCTCCTGAAGGAAAATGAAAGTTCATTCAATTGTAGAGTGACATTACCAAAATGTATCACCAAAAGAAGATGAAGAGTTGCATAAAATTTGCATATGCTTGTTTATGCGCACACCTGTATGTTTAGAAATAATTCCTATAATTTAAATAGAAGCACATTGCATCTCACCATAGTGAGATCAGTGTGCCTTCTCAGTCTGCTAAGAGGAAACTTCCAGGCCCCTGCTCTCCCTTGGTCTGGTTTGTTATTTTGAATGCAGCCTTCAGCTAGAGTGCTTCAGCTAGATGCCTTCAAATACAGGATTATCCTCTGACAGACCTTGGAACAGAGGACACAACTCTTTCCAGTAGGACACATGACCACACTATGGCCAAATCTGTACCACGCATTTAGAAGCCCTACGATACGACTTTAACTGTCATGGCGTCCCCCAAAGGTTAATGGGAACTGTACTTTGCTAAGAGTGCTGAGAGTTGTTAGGAAAGAACTGTAGCAGAGCTACAGTTTGTAGAGTGCTTTGTCAATCCTTCTTCCTAGGGAACTCTTTGGAAATTGAAGCTCTGTGAGGGGAAATAGAAGAAGGAGGAGGAGGTGGAGGAGGAGGGTTTGGATTTGATACCCTGCTTTATCACTACCCAAAGGAGTCTCAAAGCGGCTAACATTCTCCTTTCCCTTCCTCCCCCACAACAAACACTCTGTGAGGTGAGTGGGGCTGAGAGACTTCAGTCTCCTAGTAATTCTCAGCACCACCAACCCCAGGATTCATGACTGTTAAAATGGTAAAATAGTGCTTTTAATGTATGGTGTGGATGTGACCTGTTTCTCTTTAATCTCTGAGTAAATATGCCTGCTCTCTTCCGGGTGGCCCTGATTTTGACTTACGGTGGATGGCAATCCAATAGGACAAAGGCCTCTATCAGAGTGGGTTCTAGATGTGCCTCTCTAGGAGGCGAGAGTTAGTCACTAGGATGGTAGTGTGGCAATACATCCTACTTTGCGAACAACCCTTTATTTGAAGGCTGCATCCAGTTATTTTTCAGTTGCTAAATCTTCCTCACATATAGCCAGAATCCTGCTTCTGAACACAGTAACCTCCCACCTTGCTGTTTTTCAGTTCCAGAAAGCATCATAGAACGTTCAGTCATACAAATACCAGATTTGTAAAATTCTTCTGCTTCCAAAGGCGAGGATTCATGTGAATTTGACACCTGCACAATGGCACATCCATATGGAATGCCCACACCAAAGGCAACATTATGTGTGTGGTGAAGAGGAGAACACCTGCTCCTTCAACCAAAGGGTGGCTCTCAATCTGTCCCTTCTTGTCAGGTTTCCCGTGACTATAAATTGCAGCAAGATTCGTAGCACTATTTCCAGGTTCGTTGAGACTCGGTACAGTGGTGCCTCGCAAGACGAAATTAATTCGTTCTGCGAGTTTTGTCGTCTTGCGATTTTTTTCGTCTTGCGAAGCACGGTGTTGGGAAAGTTTTGGAAAAGCTTCAAAAATCACCAAAGTCTTTAAAAACCTCAAAAAAAGGCTACCACACCACGTTCTATGAGTTGCTCATCGAAGTCAAGTCACAACTGTATTAACGGTGTTAAGAAAAAGGAAACAAACTTGCAAGACGTTTCCGTCTTGCGAAGCAAGCCCATAGGGAAAATCGTCTTGCGAAGCAGCTCGAAAAACAAAAAACCCTTTCGTCTAGCAAGTTTTTTGTCTTGCGAGGCATTCGTCTTGCGAGGTACCACTGTATTGTTTAACTCTGGCCTTTTAGTCCAAACAAATTGCCTGCTTGTATACTGATTTCTAGTATGAAGGCTGATTCACCCATAGGGCTGGATACAGACTTAAGTCATAGCTAGAGTAGACCCATTGAAATCTATGGCACTTTATGACTAAATCTGGATTCAACCCATATGGCAGGCCCAGCCAACCTGGTACACTCCAGACACTTTGGATTACATCTCCCAGGATTGCTGGGTGGGGCCAATGAGAGTTGCAGCAGAGGCAGATTTAGGGAAGCACGACTGGTCCCCCCCCCGGATGCTGAGCCAAGGGGGTACCTTCCCACCTCCTTCCCAAAGCCTAGTAAGCCCTTGCTTTGGAAGGAAGTGTGAGGGCTCTGGCAGGGTCCTAGAGTTCCCCACCTCTTTCCCAAAGCCTAGTTAGCTTTTGGCAGCTTTGGGAAGAAGACAGAAGGGCTCTAGGACCCTTCCAGAGCCCTTATACCTCATTGTTTACCCAGCTTTGGGCTCAGTGGCGGGGGGGGGGGCATCAAGTTTTGGCTTTGCACGGTGGCAGACTTTGGGCTCTCAAATTTCAATGGCACTTTGTGCAATGCTAAAATTTGTGAGTAGCATGCTGCCACTGTAGAAACAAATTAACTTAAGATCACAGGAAGCTGCCTTATCCTGAATCAGACTATTTGGTCCATCTATCCCAGCATGGTCCCAGTATTTTCCTAACGAGACATTTTGAGGATGGAACCTGGGACTTTCTGCATACAAGACACATGCTCTGCTACTGAGCTGAGGTCCTTCCACTTCAGCTGCAAGGAAGGCCAGTTACATTTCCTGTAGAACGTTTTTATGAATTTGATCCCAAACTAATTAAAGCTAATTCTCCTTTCCCCCTCCCTCCCCTTAAAAGGCAAGACTCTAGTGTAGTGGGAAAACAAAATATGCTTAGCCTGGTGGGGAATGTTGATATACGATATGATAAGCCGATGTACTGGACCAAAATTTAAATAACAGAAAATAAGAGGGCTCACCCTGGGCAATTTGAATTACACACTCAACTTTAATAATTAGACTCTGCCAAGGAAGAGGAGAGGAAACTAGGATACATTGTTTCATAAAAGCTCTTTAAATGCATAATGCAAACACTAATTATTTATAAAGTAATGTTATAAACACAGCTTCTGATACTATCATTGCCTGGTAACAATCCAGGATAACTCTTGCTTAAGGAAATATTTTTCTGCTTGCTCTGATTCAGCAGATCTCCATTCAGAGTTAATGATATTTCCAAAATGTTTATTAAGATGGTAAACTGGGCCTAATAGCACGTTCAATTTCATTTTGTTGTGCCACAGCAGGAGAAGACCTCTTTATAGAAATAAAAGGTTTAACAGCATTCTAGTTTCACAATATTTTTATAACTCTGTCAATAACAACACACGTATGTGTATATGCCAAACATATACAATTCTCTGGGAAGATAGGCAGGCAAATATTTTATCATAGGTTTATCATGGATTTTAATTTGGCATTGAAAGTATTGTTTGATGCCCATTCAAGCGAGCTTGAGAGGAAAGTGTTTATTCTGTCGTACTGCATAAATGCAGAATTAGGTACAAGGTACAAAATAACTGCAAAGTACACAGTATGGTGTAGTGGTTAGAGTGTTGGACTAGAATCTGGGAGACCATGGTTCAAATCCTTGCTCCACCAGGAAACTCACTGGGTGACCCTGCCTTTTTCAGCCTAACCTACCTCACAAGGCTGCTGTAAGGATAAAATAGGGAAGAACAGAACAATGTAAGCCTTAAGCTCAAAGGAGCAAAGGTGGGATAGAAGTTTCATTAAATTACATTAAATTAAAACATGTACTTATTCCTATGTCGTTTATTGTGTACAGTTACAAACCACCGTGGAAAACTACTTATTTATCTGTTGCCACTCTTGCTGCCATCCTTGCTAATTTTGACCGCCATTTTCCATACTTGTGCACCTTTAACTTGTACGATCACAGCTTTAAATGTTTGGCGGCGGGCCACCCGAAACTGCACAAATTAAGTGCATGCAAGGTGGAGAGATTTAAAGCTCTTTCTCTGTCAGAGTTTCCCTGCACGGAAAGAGCTCTTAAGTTCTCAGAGTTGCTTGCTTGGAGCTGAGAGGCTTCTGCGAGATCTTGCGTGGCTGTCCAATATGATGATGATGATGATGATGATGATGATGATAATGATAATAATAATAATAATAATAATAATAATAATAATAATAATAATTTATTATTTATACCCCGCCCATCTGACTGGGCTTCCCCAGCCACTCTGGGCGGCTTCCCAAAAAAAATTAAAATACTGTAATACATCAAACATTAAAAGCTTCCCTAAACAGGGCTGCCTTCAGATGTCTTCTAAAAGCCTGGTAGTTTTTTCCCCTCTTTGACATCTGGTGGGAGGGCGTCCAGGGCAGGTGCCACTACCAAGAAGGCCCTCTGCCTGGTTCCCTGTAACTTGGCTTCTCGCAGTAAGGGAATCTGCCAGAAGGCCCTCGGTGCTGGACCTCAGTGTCCGGGCAGAACGATGGGGGTGGAAACGCTCCTTCAGATATACAGGACCGAGGCCGTTTAGGCTTTAAAGGTCAGCACCAACACTTTGAATTGTGCTCAGAAACGTACTGGGAGCCAATGTAGGTCTTTCAAGACTGGTGTTATATGTTCTCGGCGGCCGCTCCCAGTCACCACCACAAGATCTTGCAAGAGCCTCCCTAAACTTGCGTGAGACCTTCCCGTTCCAGTAGGCAAGGCTTTTATGTTCTCCACCTTGTGGCAGGCTCTCTCTGCACAGCAGCTTCAGAAAGTTGCAGGTGGTCATACCGGGTTGGCGCTAGGCTTGTTCCGACAATACACAATTTTGACTTTACACACAATCTCCAGAATGTAATTCCTGCACAAGTTGTGAGTCAACTGTATTTCCATCCAGGGAGATGGACACCTAGAGGGCCACCTCCAGGTTTGAGGGGACTCCTGGCAAATTGCATCCTGGCGAATCCGATTGACACCAACAGGGCTTACTGGCAGTGGCTAGTAGAAGCACCAGGATTGACGACGAACAACTTTGAGTTCCCTGCCATTCAAAATTGCTCATACTGCTCTGACATAGTGCCACCCAGGGCATCATGGTAAATTTAAAATGGTGGGTGGCTTCCCAGGCCAATGGCTACCATCAGGTAAATCTGCAGCTGAAGGATCAGGCAGGTGGGAGGGCCAAAAGGGGCATCAGCATGAGGGGAGAGACTCCATCAGGCAAGGCCTCCTTCCACCTGCCTTGCCCCACCCTCTGCTTCTCAATGTGTATTGTAATGTTTTATGTACTGTGGCTTGCCGTTGTTTTATTGATTATAGTTTAGATATTATTGTAACTGTTGAGTGGATTTCTGTTTATCTTTTATATGTCGATATTATTATTTTATACTATTCTAATGATTGTTGAATGATACTTTTTTGATGGAGGTTGCCTATTTTAAAATTATGTTTTATTATCACATTTTTGTATCGCATTAGATTGTTATAAGATGTACATTTTTTGTTTCTTCAGCTTGTAAACCGCCTTGAGTATTGTAAGATAGAAAGGAGGTATACAAATTAAAAATGATGAAAATGATGAGGATGGCACACAGTCGGGACATTTGAACCGCAGCAGCTGCCTGGGATGATGAGCGCCTATGTTTGCTCTTTCCAGGCATGCTCCACGCTTTAGAGCTCAGTGACCCAGGCCCGTCCCCCAGCCACCTTTTCTTTTGCTCCAGAGGATTCCCCACAAAAAGACACTCTTTAAAACTCAGTGGGAGCAAGTAACCTATGAAAAACATGAACAGGCATTTGCTCCGATTGAACGCCAAAGAGCAGCGTTTCGTGGGGGAAACTCCAGGATAAAAACAACAACAACACACAAATATACCCGGACACAGAGTTTTTCTGTAAGTGTAGACCTGTGCATGGAAAGTGTGAGGCAAAAGCGAAGTGTGGATAAGCCCTCTCTCAAGTTCTTTGTTCTGGCACAAAGGTACACAAGGATTTTCTTTTCTCTCTCTTTCTCTTGCTCATCCCTTCTTTTGGGGAGCAGAGCAGCACCCCAAAAGGAAGCTGCAATTGCTAAGCAGAGTGAGAAGGAGCATCCCCACCACCTTATTTCTCCTAGAGCTTTCTCTTCCCCTAAAAAAAACCCATTTTCAGTAGGATATCTACAATGCCAACCATGGCCCATGAAGACAGGCAAGCCTACATTACTCAAGATTAATCTGCCCTGATCCTGAATTATCATGTAATAGTCTTATTTAAACTAAGAATCCTTTTACATAGCCATAATAATCATGAGGGTGCATCACTCTGGGGATTTAAATTTACATTTAAATGCTTGTAAAAAAAAACTTCCCTGTGTGAAACAAGTGAGAGCTGCAGCAAGATAAGGCAGCGTGAAGCATTCTGTGACATTCTTTCTTGTACAGTGGTACCTCGGGTTACAAACACCTCGGGTTACAAATGCTTTGGGTTACAAACTCCGCTAACCCGGAAGTAGTACCTCGGGTTATGAAATTTGCCCCAGGATGAGAACGGAAATCGCGCGCTGGCGGCACGGCGGCAGCAGGAGGCCCCATTAGCGAAAGCGTGCCTCAGGTTAAGAACGGTTTCGGGTTAAGAAAGAACCTCTGGAACGAATTAAGTTCGTAACCTGAAGTACCACTGTATCTGGCTTTCCATTTCACCCCCACCCACCTGCAACATACAGCAACCACTGAGTGACCTCAGTTCTCATTGGGACGTGTGTCTGGGTTTCCACCTTGGTGGGCAAAGGTTCCTAAAGATTGTATCTCCTGCAAAACATGGGGCTCCCCCAATCCTGTTGCTACCTACCCCTTGTGAGATAGTAATGCTGTTTTGGCTGTGCAAGCAATGGCACTCAAGGCTTAAACATCAGAATGAGAGAGATGTCTGTTCTAGCCTATCCATTTTCCTAAACGCAGCGAAGGTTTTTCTCCAGGGTGGTAAGCAGGTAAGCTTTCACAAACATTCTCCAGTGATACAATCTTGAGAGAGCTGTACCGCATGATTATACAGAATGGGTGGATTGGCTTTTATTCAACTGATGGAGAGAGCTCATCTGCTGAACACATTAGCACAGTCTTCTAAAAAACCAAACCACTGGTGCATATTCTCCTCCGTTTTGATGTTCCTTGTAAGGCTGTGAAACTCCTGTCTCTCTCTGCTCCTAATACATACTTGGGATCAAATCTTCTGAATGACCTTAACAGCTATAATGTTAACTCTGCCTGCAAGGGCATTGTTTTCGCCAGATTATAGAGTACGCCTTTGGAAACAAAGGAAAATCAGCTACGGGTGCACCTGCTCTTTTGTAATTTGGGGGTGCTTTTCAAAAAAATATATTTTTGGCATGACCACCAGAACACAAACTACAGCTAACAAGCCTGCTATAATCTTGTGCTGTGTGGCTTCGCATGTGTGTGTGTGTGTGAAAACGCTTAAATTTAGCCTCTCAAACTCCCTGCCAAGGAGTTAAATATAATGGGCAGGTTTTCAAAGGAGATTGAGAACTAGTAGTTCTCTCCCCAATGAAGCACGATTCACCTTTCAGAGGAGATGCAAAACCAAAGGTCCTGGATGGTTAGAATGATTAAAGATCCCTAACTTAAGGATGCTATTAACCTTTGCACTTTAGTCAAATTACAAAATCATTACACTCTGCCCACCTAAATATTTCTGGCAGTTTTAATTAGATTTGCTACTACTAATCATATGCAGCCTTCGCAGGCTAATGCTGTGCATAGTCATAATCTCCCCCAGGTGAACAGACCTTCTTCCACCGCTCCCCGCATGGTTTTACTTGCCCGATTGCCTGCAGTCTTTGACTGCAAGGCAAAGTATTTAAGCATTTACACCTGAGCCTCAAGACAATATAGTTCCACTGACTTAAAATGTATGGTCTCAGTACAATAAGTAGGCGCACAGAGGCAGGAGCAGTTCATAGGTTGAAGGATACGAGCCTCAGCAATGGAGTCAACCCTGTGCACAGACCTCCAGGCTGGTACCAGGATTGAGAGGGTCCTATGGCAGTCACCCTCCATATCTCACTAGTGGCGGCAGTGGTAGACGTTTAAATGTCTCAGAGTACCCACAATGCAGCATCACTCCTCAGCATTATGGGATTTGTTTTAAAAAGTGGTTCCCAAATCTACCACTCAGCGTGGGGGTGGGGGGAATGTCAGCACTAGTAGGCCCTGCAGCCGGCACCCCAACAGCTGCTCTTCATCCAAAATGGGAAGAGGGGACCTGCTATTCGCCAGGTGCAACTGGGCTAGATCCCCCATCATTTCTGACCATGGTGCCTGAGACTGATGGATCTTGTTGTCTAACAATATCTGGAGGGCCACAGGTCATTACCGCCACTGCCCCCCAGCTGCTACATGAGAACTCATAATTATAGAAGGGATACCTCCCATTACGTTAAATGAGGAATTCTCCGTTATTGTGCTTGTATGATCTATTAGCATAACTGGAGCGAAAAGAGTGATCTGTGTAGGTCAAACCCAGCTGCCAACAATCTTAGCTGCACACAAGCATGACCAAGGGACAACCAAGGTGGTGTTGGTAGAAGCAGGTGTATTTTCAAAGGTTGTAGTCATTGGGATTGTTCAACTAACAAACCAGTGGTCCCATCAAATGCTCCCCTTGCCTTTTCCCCACATGCATGAATGGCTACAGTCCACTGCTATGTGCACCTGGAAACATTGCTGTCTTTCACCCCCTCTGATCCCTGGTGGCTCACTCCACACTTATTGGAAACTATTGTGTGTGTGCGCGCATGTTAAGAGCATTGTGTCCTGCCTCCCCCTACCGATCTCTGCAACGCCTCCACCACTCATAACAATGAGAATTTTGCTAGCGCTGTGCAGACATTACAGTACAGAGAAATGGAGAATCAAGTTTTTCCATAGAATAAGGACTGTTTGGTTAAATGAGCAAAAAAGTTGTGCCAAACACACACAAAGGGAATTAAATTCCCTGTTGCCTGATATGCGCAGCTAGGAAAACCTTCCAGAAAAACAACAGCCCAGACTCAAAACTATTCCACGGAGTCCCTAAATTTATAATTTAAGGCATCAATCTGGAATGTTATGTCTTTGATGGCTTGTAAAAAAAGCCAACTGATGTGATTGGCGGCATTTTAAATACATGAGGTCTCAGCATAATTGAATTGTCTTGGTCTTAATTACATTCCATTGGGATTCTCTTTTTTAAATCTAATTACTATGCAACTTGAAGAAAGCCTTATTATGAGCATTGATTTGAAATCTCTGATATGTTTAATAGCATCAGCATTCCAAAAATAGCTGCAGCAGGGGATGTCTGAGTAAAACTCATTTGTCTGCATTCTTATGATGTCTTTCGGTCAGGTTAACACCAAACTGCTGGCTTACCTTGTCATCCAATTTCCGTGCACTGAAGGAAAGCTCAACATAGTCATCGTTACCAGATAATTCTTCAGCAATCACCTAGGTGAAAAGTCACAGATATGTTTAAATGGAGGAGGGGTGGTGGTGGAATTAAATATGGAACAGTGCCATTTACTAATGCGCCTTATGTAGTAAGCCCTGTGAGGCTGCAGAAATGTGACAAATGTGACAAGGAAGCTCGCCTGATGCCTTTGTTAAATATCTTTAGGCGCCAGGAAAAAAACATCCAGCTTCTCAAAGGCCTTTGGTTAATTAAGCCATCTATGTCCTTTTAAGCTGTGTGTGAGGTGGTTTATGCTTTTGTTTGTTACTATGCATTTTTGTGTTTTTATATTGTAAACTGCCCTGTGATTCTCGGATGAGGGGCGGTACAGAAATTTAAAAAATGAATGAATAGAACTCCATTGCCAGAAATGAGGCACAAATGCCAATATAATTTAAAGCTGGGATATCCCATTTCTGGGCACCATTGCTAATTCAGCCCTGGGGACCGACTCCACTGTCTCTCAAGACAGACAGATGCCAACAAAACAAGGGAACTACTGCTCACCAGACAATGAGCTGAGAGGATGGGGCAGAAGTCTATTTCGTCCATTCTGACAGAATCACGCTGAATAATAAATCTGTTATCCTAGCAATAAGGGCTTCGTGGTGTGGAGAATACAGACTTACACACAGCTAAGCAATATCATTAGTACAAGCACTGTCCCGAGAGGGAGACAACGTGAAAGTGTGACCCCACTCTCTCTCACACTCATGTACACAACTTGAAACTTTTTAAAAATAAAAACTTTAAAGTGAAATTGAGACAGACCCCCCTCCCTCCTGCGTATAGCTGCATATAAAATTACGTGTGGTGTGTTGCAGGGCTGGGCGATAATCAGCTTTCAACACTGTGATGTATCACCAGCCAAACTTCGCAATACATCGCAATGTTGAAAAGCAGAGGGAGGAACAAGCTGCATTGGGCCTCAGGAGGAGCAACGGTGATTTCACCCTGATGCCTTGCAGGACCAGGGCTGATGGAGCTTGTTCCTTCACGTGCCAGGCAGTGGCTGGAGTCTGTCCACTGACAGCACCCAGCACGCTGAGGGAGAAACGAGCTGCACTGGCTCCGGCGCCTCATTTTCCCCTTGGTTTGAGGGCCAGAGCGCGATGGGGCCTTCACCCATGATATGCCACTAAGTGAAGTTGCCATGGCACTCTGGCCTTCAAACCGGTCCTGAGCGATGTATTGATACATCACCCAGGCCTAGTGTGGAGAAAGGGGACCAGGAGAATTATCTTCTCATAATACTCAGGATTATCACATCAGGATTATCTTCTTATAATACTATGGAAGATTCAGTGTAGAGAAACTGAGTCAATTTTCCACACACTGCAGAGGTAAACTATGGTATGTGCTCCCACAAAAAGGAGTGGTGCCTACCAACTTGGATGGCTTTTAAAATGATTAGACAAATTAATGGAGGGCAAGGCTATCAACTATCACTAGCCACAATGGCTATGGTCTGCCTCTACCGCCAGAGACAGCATACCTCTGAATAATTTTGGGGGTCGCAAGTGGAGAGAGTGCTCCTGCGCACATGTCCTGCTTGTAGTTTTGCCATCAATATCTGGCTGGGTGCTGCGACAGCATGATGCTGGACTAGATGGCCCTTCGGCCTGAGTAAGCAAACACTGGCAACTTCTACTCCCATTTCCATATCTGCTGAAATTCTCCCACATCCCCAAGTGTTTCTGTTCACTTATTTGTTTTAGACAAGTCACTGAACATTTGCCTGCTCCTTATAATCTAGACAAAATTACTCTTCCAGGCTCACTGACCGGATGATTCACGCTGATCTCATTTGTTTGATGGGTTTCAGGTCCATGAGATACATTTAACTAGGTTACAAATACTGACAATATAAATTTTAAACCCCATTAAAATTTTCCTGAGTTTTTAACATTGCATTTTGTGGCCACATGCCCATATTATAATGCTGATTAGATAATTCCTCAAGTAATGGGAAACTAAAGAAAATACCTTGGGTTGTATCTGGACATGGGTTGTAGCGTTACCTATGTATACACAGAAGTCCTATTGAATTCTAGGGTCTCACTCCCAAATAGAGTTAGATTTGAAATCTAAGTTGTTTATACTTTGTTCCTACTGAAATTGGTGCGGATTAAGTTCTTATTGATCTGTCCCACTGATGTCACTGAGACTTAGTGCAATTAAATTTCTGTTGCAACACACTAAAACTGCTAACCCTTTGCAAGCTGGTATATGAAGATTACATTAAAAAGTGCTCATCCATGAGTCTGTTTTTTTCCTGTTTCCCTGTTTTCATTCTGTGATTTTTAAAAAAACCCCACCACAAAACTGTTTTTAATTTTTGCATTTGTATTTAAATACATTTTTAAACAATCTGGGTTATAGTCAATGTGAGGAATATTGCATCTTTTTTTATTTATAAAAAATATCCTGAGGCAAAAGAAAAGATTATTCAGATGGACCTACCGTTATGGAAGATTTTCCTGCCGTGTTGCCATGTTTCAATAAAGATTTTGAGAGTTTTCTCTGTGAAACAATCTGCAGGAAATGATAAGAGAGGGTGTTAGAAAATGTATCTAGGTTTGTGATGTAATTTTCATCTAAGAAATGTATGCACATGTCTCACCAAATAATTCACTAAAACAGAGATAAAGTAATTCCACAGGGCAGGAGATCGCAATCTGGTTTTAAAGATGAAGGATTAGTGAATGATCTCAAAATAGTTCTTGCACAGAAACTTAGAAGAAACCTAGAATCAAGGTTGCAATTCTGAACACACTTGTTAGGGAGGAAGCTTCAATTAATACAGTGGGACTTAGGTAGAGGTAAAGGGACCCCTGACCATTAGGTCCAGTCATGGCCGACTCTGGGGTTGCGGCACTCATCTCGCTTTATTGGCCGAGGGAGCCGGCGTACAGCTTCCGAGTCATGTGGCCAGCATGACTAAGCTGCTTCTGGCGAACCAGAGAAGCATGGAAACGCCGTTTACCTGTTGGGATTGGAACTTAACAGGTTAAGTTTTTCCCATGGTGCCACACCATTCTGACGTCAGTTTTCGAAGTTGGGAGGAGTTTGGGAGGAGTTAGTCAGTCCCACTCTGTGTTCCGTGGGGAAAAGACGCAGGTCTGGCATGGCTGCAAATAGTCCTGGTAATTCCTGAGAAATGTTGGAATAAAAGCTGTAAATAGACAAACTGGACTCTGTGTGTTTGTCTGGAAGCTGAACCAAGCAACGTGACAGTTCTACACCGCTGTGCGGAAACTCTGCTGAGCCGTGACGGAGAGGCGCTGCGGAAGTGTGCCGGGCGGCCATATATCGCTAATCGAGGTTCGTAAATCAATTAGCGGGAGTCACGGCTAACTACCAAATGTCACAGGTTATGGATCCATAAATCATCGCTTGTAAAACTGTCACGGAAGATACTGCCGGGAGCTTTGAAGTCTGCGGTGTCGAGCAGGGGGCCGGCAGGAGGCGGAAGGACTTTTTGCCTGATGTTTGCCTGCGTCTAAGAGGCAAAGAAGCTGCTGAGAGAGCTGCTGGAACACAGAGCTAAAAGCAAGAAGCAGCTGGGAGCTGGAAAGCAGCTGAGAAGTCGTTTCTCCGGACGGGTGCTGGATGAGCTGGTGATCTTGTGAGTACAGCTTGGGGCCCCTTGGGAGAACGGGAGAAGATGGCAGACTGCCAGGATATACCAGTGGAAAAGCTCACTCTAAAGAGTTGGGCAACGTGGTCCAGGAGAATAAGGGGATGGTTCTTGGTTGAAGGGCTCTGGGAAGCAAACCAGTGGGAGCCAAAAGAAACACCCCTTAGCCGGCCAGCAGCTGGAGCAGGTGAAGCAAGCTGTGGGGCTGTGTTGGCTGAAGATAGCCAGAGGCTGCAACAAGAGCTGAATATGCTCAAAGCATGCGTTGATGCGTCACTGGGGCCTCAGTTGGAGGGCGTAACGACAGCGTGGGCTGCCTGGAATTTGCTGAAAGGCTTGTGTGAGGCGTCAGCGAAAGGCCAGAGCCCTGGAGGAAGCCCTGGAGAGGCAGAAGGATGCCCAGAAAGCCCAATGGGGGCTGGGACAGTGTTGGGAAGCTGTTGTAATGCTTCTACACGTCTGTGTGATGGACTGAGTCCTGGAAAGGCTGGACTGGCAGGCCCTGTTCCCGATGTATTGGCCTCTAGGAGCGCTAGTGAGCAGATCGGGGGGGCGAAGAGTTCCAAAGGCAAGTTTAAAGGACTTTCCCTTTGTGCTGAAGCGGAGAGCAGCTTCAGGGGGGGCGAGGCTGGTGGGAGGCGCCGTTCCAGAAGGAGGAAGGCCAAGCCAGCTGGGAGCCCCGGGCAGTGTTTTTCCACTGGAGTTCGTCACACGGCGCAACATCTGAGTGGCAAGTGCCCCCACCGGTGCAGAGAGCCGAGGCAGGATGTTGTGAAGGACATTTCCCATGGGAATCAGGCGGGTTTCCATGGCAACAGGCCTGGGAAGGCAGGCAGGCGTGGAACAGAACCAGGTGGCCGTGGTAAACAACGGGAAGAGTCTTATCAAGTCTCGGCGAGTATGGCAGTGTTTGAAGACGGCCGAGTGGAAAATTCCGAGATGGCCTTTGTAATAGACTCTGCAGCTAACCGCAACATGGTTCCAGAGACCCCTGCAGTCGAGAGGTGGAATTGCACGGCAGTTCCGAAGGGACAGACTATTAAGTTTGCAAATGGACAGAAAACTAGAGTTTCCACGTGTACTAATGCCTATCTTTCTGTTTTACAGGAGACGGTGAATTTATGTATTGTTCCAGAGATTCAACATTGTTTGTTATCTGTGCCTTATTTGTTAAGTAAGGGGTTCAAAGTTTGTTTTGAAAACGATGTCTGCACGATCTCCAAAGGGGGGAGGTTACTGGCCAAAGTGCGGAAGGGACAGAATGATCTTTTCATTCTTAAAACGTCTCTTGGAGGTGAGGGGAAGGTTGAGAAAGCACAAGCGTTGCGTGCTACAGTTCCCAACCAGCGTGCTACAATTCCCGCTCATAATGTTACATGTGCATGCGTATGGCATCAGAGAACGATTCACAATCCTTTAGAGGATTTGCAGGTGTTACCTGAGGTTGTTACAGGTTGTAAGATTAAAAATTGTCAAAGTGCCATTAATTGTGAAACCTGCAGGCTAGCAAAGGTAAAAGGATGCAGTTACCCAAAGGTGGAACGTGTAGCCACTAAACCTTTTGAGCTGGTGCACATAGATTTGTCCGGTCCTGTCAAGGCACCAAGTCTAGGGGGGGCCAGGTTTCTGCTCGTTTTTCTGGATGATTTCTCGCAGAATTCCTGGGCTCACGGTCTTAAATCCAGGGAGGATGCAGCACGGCTGATCAAGAGCTGGATTGAAGGGGTGGAACAGAGGTTCTCCACCAGGGTTCAAGCTATCATCAGTGACAGAAATGCTAAGTACACTGGTTCTGCTTTGCAGGAGTTCTTTCACAAGAAAGGGATACGACACACAGTTATTTCACCCCAGCAAGGTGGGGTGGCAGAGCTGCGAAGTGGAGCTCTAGTTCAGGCTGCACAGGTGTTGCTGAAAGACTCTGAGTTACCTCCAAGGTTTTGGCTGGAGGCAATCAAGTATGTGAGCTTCACCTGGAATCGTGTCTATAACTCATTGGTAGGTGAAACACCGTTTTCTTTGTTAAATGGCAGAAAACCCCAGGTTCACTTTCTGCGGACGTTTGGGACCCCTGCGCTTGTCTCTGTGCCTGAGGCTTTGCGAGGGCCAGATGGAGCCAAAGTCCAGAAAATGATCTTCTGTGGGTATGAGCCAGAAGCCCGTGCATGGAGGTTCGCATTTCCATCAGGTGATCAGAGTAAGTTACTGATCAGTAAACACGCTGAGTTCTTTGAGCAGAGTGAGAAGCCAAAGATTGTTTTCCAGCGTGATCTTCTCTCAGATTGTCTCTCTGACCCAGAGGACAGTTGTGATGAGGAGGAAGGAGAGGCTGAGCCTGCTGATGAGGACCAGGTCCAGGATCAGGGTTCAGAACCCGATGATGATGATCAGTTCACTGACCAAAGTCAGGAGCAAAGTCAGGAACAGGAGGAGGTATCTGTAGTTTCTCCACAAGATGTTAAGAGAGCACCCAAAAGCGAGCCTAGTTCTCCTGTGAGTGTGATGGAAAGGATTCGAAAACGCTTTAAGTCAGAAGGGGAATCCCGTGATGCAGAGGTCACACCTGCTGGTGACGGTGAGCCAGAGGAAACATCTGTGTTTGTGCCTAGGAGGTCCAGTCGCACAACAAAGGGTATTCCGCCAGAGAGGTATCAGGCCACAGGTGCGTGGGTAAATTTCGCACAGTGCGTTTCTGAGGATTGTGAGGTGGTTCCACAAATGCCAAACAGGTCTGCCAAGGGAGGGCGCGAGGCATTGGGGGTGGGATTGATCTCACAAAGTGTTACTGAAGGGGTTCAACAGGTGCCTGGGAAAAATGCCGGAAAGGGGCACAAGGCAAAGGGAAAGGTGTTGAACTCAGAAGAGTCTTGTCAGAATGGGCGGCAAAGGGGGGTGTTGGGATTGGAACTTAACAGGTTAAGTTTTTCCCATGGTGCCACACCATTCTGACGTCAGTTTTCGAAGTTGGGAGGAGTTTGGGAGGAGTTAGTCAGTCCCACTCTGTGTTCCGTGGGGAAAAGACGCAGGTCTGGCATGGCTGCAAATAGTCCTGGTAATTCCTGAGAAATGTTGGAATAAAAGCTGTAAATAGACAAACTGGACTCTGTGTGTTTGTCTGGAAGCTGAACCAAGCAACGTGACAGTTCTACACCGCTGTGCGGAAACTCTGCTGAGCCGTGACGGAGAGGCGCTGCGGAAGTGTGCCGGGCGGCCATATATCGCTAATCGAGGTTCGTAAATCAATTAGCGGGAGTCACGGCTAACTACCAAATGTCACATTACCTTCCCGCTGGAGCGGTATCTATTTATCTACTTGCACTTTGACGTGCTTTCGAACTGCTAGGTTGGCAGGAACAGTGGGACTTACTTCTGGGCAAAAAAATCCAGCATGCATATAGGATTGTTGCCACCTCCGTGACAAATGGGTTTTTCAGTTGTGGCCCTCTTTGTGGACTGTGTTTACCAGAGAAGCAATGACTAGCACCTTCCTTCCTAGACAGTTTTTTTAGTTGCCAGGCTAAGACATTTGAATTAACTCAGGCTTTGTGTGGTGAAGTTAGCCATTACTCTTTTGCTCATCTTTTTGTGGGGGGGGGGGTTAGGACATACCATTTTTACTGTATGGTTGGATGAGCATTTGGGGAATTTTATATTGCATGCTGTTTTTAATTTGGTTTTATTTGTTTGCATTCCCTGGTAAGTCATTCTGAGGCTTTTTTAACAAAGCGGCAAGCTGAGGTAAACCATCATCATTTCCCATGTTCCTGCAGTGCCTTGGTGGGCACATACTTAACTTGTGTCTGTTAGGGGGGAAACCAGGTACAGATATCATCATCATCATCATCATCATCATCATCATCATCATCATCATCAAAACAAGAACTTTTCAAGTGAAATG